TTTGTTTCTGTAGGCACTACAATATCTACACAGAGGGAAGGCTATAAGAAAAATGAGACTGTGTTCAAAGGAGAAAGGAAACATTACTGTCACACTCCAAAGGGAGGGACACTAAAAAAATTTACCTTAGAGACACATTCCAAGCTACAGACAAAGACGAAGAAGCAGAGGGTTATGTGATTCTCACCTGCAAGTGACAAGGTATCAACAGACTGGCTGGCAGGAGTACTAACACTCTGTGTAGAGCCACCAGCCCCAGGATTATCTTGTGGTTTACTACAGTGACCACATGTACAATGGAGAGCACAGAACATCCCTTATACTTCCAGAACCTGAGCTAAATGTCCAAGAATGATAAGAGAGACAGTCCCCTCAGGTTGAACAGGAGTTTCTTATTCTTCACTCCCTATTAAATTATAGTTTAGGGAGTAGAAAGTTCAGTGTTTGACATTTTCAGTGGCAGATAAGATTTGGGAAGGATCCAGGAAAATAAAAAATGGAAGAGATATCAAATAGCCAGGGATGGAAGTTCCCCTTATATACATTGGATTGTGTTCTTCATAATTTCACTTTGAAGCATAGGCCTAAGAGCATGGAAGAATGAATGTCCTGCTTAAAAATACACCAATGTTTACCCTCGGATGATAATTTAACTATTATCAAACCAACCTCCAAACATTTGCCAATTTCTATGCAGAGCAGAAGGAGACCCTGTTTCAGTAGGTTCACCATTGGGCACCTGCTGACTCGTGAAGCAAGTTGTGTTAGAGATGAGGGGGCACTTGAGTTAGATGACTGTAGTTCACTGGCTGCTAAGATCAGCCCCCAGTTATTTTATAATATACTCAGGCAAAGGAATTGGGCAAGAACTACAAGAATGGCCAGAAGCATACCCTTCGATACTGTCAACACTTTTCCATGACATGTTTCTCTCTCACATCCAGACTGCTTTCTTTACTTAGAGAATTAGATAGTCCAATCACACCTATTGATCTGATGTCCCCAAAGCTCAGATACCACTGTGGATGACTAACATGTGATCTACCATATTTAACATGAAGGACCATGAAAGAAGCATGATGACAAGTAGAACTCCAAATCTAAATTTTGTTCATCACCTATTCTAGGGTGAAACTGACCCAATGCCACCAACTTGCCAACTTACAACAGATTCAAGTAATCTTGGAAATTATCCTATCAAGGACTCATTATCAGTACTTTTTTTAAAAGATGTAGGAGATACTGTGCGTCATTGGGTGTTTGATCAGATTTGATGACATGTAGTCATACTATACGACTCTCAGCTTGTCCACATTTTTACTATTGTAGCTCATTGGTTTTTGATTCACTGTCCAGGCAGTGAGTTGAAAGACCAGTTTCTAAAAACATTCATTGGCCCAGTCATCTTGACCATTGGTTGTATGCTGCCTCTCGTGTCTGGTTGCTGTAAGATGAGACAAGATGATTTATCGTGAATGCACACTGCCATGTATTCCTCATGCCTCCTGGTCTTTATCTCCCCAACTTGCTCCTTCTAGTCTCTTGACCCATTGAATATTCTCATACATTGCCCATCACACTGTCCAACTTCCCAGGCACTCTTTTTTCATGGAAAGTGTTCTAGTTTTCCATGGCATAATCTTACTTATAGTCTATCCAATAAAAAAAGTGAAAATTATCTTTTCTTGTATTGTTGGGAGGAGAATGAGACCAGGATTTTGATGTATGTTGTAATAAATATATTTTCTTGTTCCAAAATAATCATTTTAAATCTAAATGTTTTCTATGATTTTTTTCCCACAATTTAATACATTTTTCTAGAAACTAGATCATTAGTGGTCTGGAAGATGACAGAGATACCCAGTACTCTCCTGTATCTTTACTAGATTGACACCAAGAACACATGCAGCTACATCATCAAGCAAGGTTCCATGGAAGACAGTGAGATACTACAATAGAGAGTTGTGACCAGGTGAGACCCAGAAACATTACATTTTAGGGTTAAATGAGAAAACAGAGCACTAAGAGCAGTCATTCTGCTGCACAGGAGGAGGGGCAGTGTGGTGATAACAAACTTGTCAGTGGAGCTATAGGTGAAAAGAGAATCACAGTCTCAGTGTTCCCACTGGTGCAGAATCTGGCACTGTGCACATTTATAGTCTAAGCACGTGGGGATCTGAGATCCACATAGGGAACTGGTGCACTGGAGAACAGGCTCCCTGTATCTTAGAGTTCATTCGTGCAGTGACATATCTGGGAGTCATCTTAAGAAGGTTCTTAGCATCTGACTTTTCTGCCTGAGAGATCAGAGGCCCCTGCATTCTTGCATCTCTATGATTCAGAAGTCTCTTGTCTTGCTGGGTCAGAGTGTGAGTACCATGAGACACAGCGTGGGCCCAGAGCATTGACTGTGACTTTGAAACAAGTGTTTGAAAAACCTTATGTGGAAGGAAGGAAGCACAGGCTGTCACACAAAGGGGACAAAGGGTGCTACAGTTCAAACTTGATGGTGCAAGTTTGAAAAGCAGAGACCCACTGTCGGTGGACTCCCTTGATGCTGGAGCAGAGATCAGAGTGTCCAGGCTGCTGGATCACCCAATTCTAGAAGCTGATCAACTCAGCACAGATTGTTTTTTTTTTTTTTTGAGCCCCTTCTAGGCTCTGAGGATTTCAGAACATATGCAGTATGAGACACTTGAACACCTACCCTCCCATGGGTCTGCTGTCAGAGGGTCTCGGGAGAGAAATTGTGTATCCACTTGATTATTATCTAGGCCTAGTGGGTGAAGGGACTCATGGGTTGCACGTGTAGTGACAGTGATTCCTCCCACGAGTGTTTGGTGGTGGACAGGGATCTCTTTTTGATAATCTGTGGGTCTCAAAGGGTACCAAATTGGCTCTGTATCAAAGAGAAACCTATTTTCTTTTAAAATCTCAACTCCCATAGGTGCCTGAGAACAGGGCTACAAAGTCAGGAAGCCTGGATTTAACCCACTATAGATTCAGGGTAAAAGACTGCCTAGGGAGCAGTTATAGAGAGCAGGAGGGCTGGACGTGACAAACAAAAATGTGAAAGTGGCAGGAACCCAGACTCAGCCAACTGTGTAAGGAAATGTAGGACTGCCTATGGTTTCTGGACATAGACATTTTCAACTGAGAATAACGATGGAGTTTGATTTCCCTGAGCCTGAGATTGGCTCATTGATCAACTTTAGGTGCCATCATACTATCACAAACAACATGGGTAGCCAATTCATGGCATACACATTTAAATTAAAGCTAGGGCCTGCATATGAGAGAAAACATGAGTATTTGTCTTTCTGCTACTGGGTTGTCACAGTTACTGTAATATCTTCCAGATTCAGGTTCATCACTTTCCTGCAAATTCCATGTTTCCTTACAGCTGAATGAAATTCCATTGTGTTTTTGGTTGAGAGAGAGAGAGAGAGAGAGAGAGAGAGAGAGAGAGAGAGAGAGAGAATGAGAGAGGAGAGAGAGACAGAGAGACAGAGACTGAAATGGAGTTTGGTGGGTAGGGAGGTGGAGAGGATATGGGAGGAGTTGGGGGAGGGGAAAACATAATCAAAGAATGATGTATATTTCTAATGAAAAGATATGCTTGTTACTTTTGATTGACATGCCATTTTTGCTTAAAAAATCCAGTTTTTCCTCTCTATGACAATATTGAGGTGATCATCAGTTAACAAAATATGAGAAGCAGTGTGTTGTTTGGTGTGAAGAATTTCTCGTTGTTACATTTAAAAATGCATGCAATAAGCAGTTGCTTAAAAAAAAATCTCCATTCTTAGAGTAAGGAAACCAAACCTCTATTCATAAGCAAACTGGCCTCCCTGGGATAATAGAAACTGGTCAGCTAGGGCTGAAGAATTAGTTGTGTTTATTTGGCAGGAGACCAGCACCACCTAGGCAAATCTACTGGGAAGTGCTTCCTCAGTGTCAGCTGTGTGATAAGCTATGTGTGCTGTGAATGGTGTAACCCAAGAAATGTAGTTGCCCAAGGCCTGTGGAGCCCAGAAGGTCATGAGTGAATCCCAGGTGGGGAATACTGTATTACAGGATATGATTTATACTGCTGGACATTGGTTTTGGTTTGCTTTGATTATGGTACAGCTCTGTTTTTTTTTCCTCTTGGAGTAGAAAGTATTTAATATATATATATATATATATATATATATATATATGTATATTCATATATATATATGAATCTACAGTTATGAAGACTTGTCTGTTTTAGAGAAACATTGGCCTTTTAAAGAGACATTACATTAAAAAAAAAGCTTGGACTTTCAAAGTGTTGAAATTATAAAGACAGTGGGACTTCTAAAGTTATACTTTGTTTTATATTCTGATATTAATATTAACATGACATACTGGAGACACACAAGAAATGAAAGTTTATGGTTTAATAGAGATGTGATTGTGTTGAGGTGACAAAGTATCAATTATATTGTCTAGGGTTTTTTTTTTGTCAACTTGACATAAGCTAGAATCATCTGAGAAGAGGGAACTTCAGTTAAGAAAATGCCTCAATCATGGGCCCATAGGAGCAGTTCTTGATTGATGATTGATGCATATATTCTTGCTCAGTCTCTTACGGGCAGTGCCATCCATAGGCAGATGATGCAGGAGTGCATAAGAAAGCAAAATAAGCAAGCCAGTAGGCAGCATTTCACCATGGACTCTTGTCTTAGATATCTACTGCCATAATAAATCACCATGACCAAAATCAACTTGGGGAGAGAAGAGTTTATTTCACCTTCCAGCTTCCAGTCCTTTATAAAGGGAAATTGGGTCAAGAACTTAGGGCAGGAGCCTGGGGACAAGAACTGGAGCAGAAACCACAGAGGACTGCTGCTTACTTGTTTGTTCTTAATGTCTTGTTCAGCCAGCTTTCCTGTATAACCCAGGAATATCTGCCCCAGGATGGCACTATGCCCAGTGGGCACAACCCACTCATATTAATTATTTTTTTTTTCATGTGGCAACCAGATTTATTTATTTCATAAGGAAATATCTGTTAATAAATGAATCAGTAATTAAAAACACATTCAAGTAATAGCTAAAGGACAAACCAGGAACCGTGACTCAAGCTCAAGAATGTTTAACTACATAATGACTCACGGGTCAAGTCTTTGTCACTGTAATCCTGACAAAATGTCAAAGATAAGCTATTGCCAAGAAGAGTTTCCCATTTATTCAACTACTGCTTTGATCAGTGATCAGTTTTTTGGGGGGTGAGGTGGGGGAGGCAGATATGTAAAGCCTTACTATAGTCTGGGCTCAATTTTGAGATGCTCTTCTTGTCTCAGCCTTTAATAGTGAAGATTCCAACAAATTCCAAACCAAGATCCAGTCAGCTCCACAGACAGACTACAGGATGACGGCACAGGGCTAGGAGAACTTCCTCCACAGCCACACAGGCCAGTTCTGAACCTTGCCCCTGACTGTCTCCCAGGGAACCTTTACCTGGGCCGCTGGAGGAAGGCCACAGCACGGAAGCCAATGTCCTTCCTATAAACTGCTCCCTCAAACTTTATAGCAGCGAGTCCTTTCCTGGCTTCTTCAAGGGCTGACACCAGATTTTCCTGGACGGCTGTTACTGTGAGGACTCTGCCTCCGCTGGTCACTACTTTGCCATCTTTAAGAGCAGTGCCCGCATGGAATACCTGGAGTCCTAAAGCCTGGGCCTCAGGAAACCCTGTGATCTCCACACCCTTGGCATAGGCTCCAGGATAGCCTTCACTGGCCATGACAACAGTGATGGCAGTATGGTTGTCTAGCCAAACAGGCAGAGATGTATTCAGCAGGCCATCTAAGGTGGACTGAATCACTTCATAAAGGTCACTTTTAAGAAGTGGGAGGATTACTTGGCATTCTGGTCACCAAAACGGCAATTAAACTCCAAAACTTTTGGGCCATCTTTGGTCAGCATGATACCAGCATAGAGAATTCCTGTGTAAGGCACACCCTCCTGCTGCATGCCATCTACGGTTCTCTGAAGAATAGTGTTTTTAATTTTCAGTAACAAATCTTTAGGAACCTGAGGTGTTGGGCAATAGGCTCCCATCCCCCCTGTGTTGGGGCCCTGATCTCCATCCAGCAATCGTTTGTGGTCCTGTGCTGGGGGCATTGGGGCCACTGTCTTCCCATCAGTGAAACACAGACAAGACACTTCTTCCCCGTCCAGAAACTCTTCCACAACAACCGTTTCTCCAGCTGCTCCAAAAGACTTTTCTTGCATGATCTCCTGCACGGCTCTGCAGGCCTCCTCTTTGCTCTTTGCAACAATCACTCCTTTCCCAGCAGCAAGGCCACTGGCCTTCACAACCAGAGCAGGAAAGTTGGCGCTCATAATGAAGCTGCAGGCATCTTCAGGTGTGGTGAATGCTCTCCACTGTGCAGTCGGGATTCCGTGTCGGTCCATAAACTCTTTGGCAAACTTTTTACTGGACTCTAACTGAGCTGCTTGGGCTGTGGGGCCAAAGCATCGTACTCCTGCTCGGGTCAGGTCCCCAACAATCCCTGCAGCCAGAGGGGCCTCTGGCCCGACAACCACGAATTCAATCTTTTCATCTTTGCAGAACTGAGCAAGGGCAGTGTGATCCTCAATGGAGACAGCAGCATTTGCGATCTTTCCAGAACAGGCAGTGCCTGCATTTCCTGGGGCAACCAACACTTGTTTGACATGATGAGACTGTGCAAGTTTCCAGGCCAGGGTATGCTCCCTCCCTCCACTGCCAATTACAAGAACTCGGGCTGCCATTGCTTCCTGCAAAGCAGGAATTCAGAAGCAAAATGAGACCTGCAAGCCTCGCCACGCTGCTCTCATATTAATTATTAATCAATAAAATACCCTACATATCTGCATACCAGAAATCTGAAGGAGGCATTTTCTCAGTTGAGATTACTCTTCTCAGATAACTTTAGATTGTGTCAGGTTTACAAAAACCAAACAGAACAATTAATCCTTTGTCAATGTGACACAATGAATTACCTTTAAACAATAACACCAACGATTTGCCTCAGTGATGTTGGTCTCTTCTAATCACAGCTGATTCCTCAGACCCAGCTAACCAGTACCACTAGTCCCATTAAAGAAAAGGTTTACTTCAGTGGTACTGTTCTCTTGTTCACCACACTTTACAGTTGAAGATGAGGAAAACCAAAGGTTTTTAATTTAAAAACTACACAAATCGTCCTGGTAGATTCTATGCCTCTTTCTGAACTTTTACAAGCCAGGCCTCCACAACTTGCATCTTCTTCAGCTTTGCTATCTTTCCACAGACCATAATATCCCATTATCAGTAAGCACTCAATCTCTTTCCCTGCCTAAATATCCAAAATCCTTCCAGAGTCTTCCCCAAACAGTGAACTTCGGTTGGGCACAGCGGTATCTGATGCACCTGGTACCAATTTCTGTCTTAGGTTTCTATTGCTGTGATAAAACCTCATAACCAAAGCAACATGGGGAAGAAAGGGTTTGTTTCACCTCACAGCTTACGGTTTTTCATGAAGGAAAGTCAGCGCAGGAATCTGGAGACTAGAACTAAAGCAGAAGCCACAGAGGAATGCTGCTTACTGGTTTTCTCCATTTGCTTGCTCAGCCTGCTCTTTTATATAACCCAGTATCACCTGCCTGGGACTGGCACCACTCTCTGTGGACTGAGCCCTCTCATATCAATAATAACAAACCACCCTTCTAATCAATTATTGAGAAAAGACCCTATAGACTTTCCTACAGGAATTTTGATAAAGGCATTTTTCTCAACTGAGGTTTATCTTTCTGGATCTTTCTAGGTTGTGTCCAGTAGACAAAAAACTAAACAGAACACCACTGCCCTGGTGAAAATAACTATGGTGTAAGCAGGGTACTGACCCTGGAATTCACTGAGTCCTGTCTGAATTAAAGTGCTACTTTCAAAGGCTAGTTCAGGGTTTTGGAGTCTGTCCTCAGCCAAGATTCCAGTGATTACCTGCAGCTTCTGTGTCCTCATAGGGACTGTCAAGTTTTTAAAATAATGAGGTTTCCAGGAGAGCAGAGGCAGGGATCACAGTTGTTCAGCAAAGAACATCCTTCACAACTCAGCAAATCATTTAGTAGATTTATTGTGTAATAGCCACATAAGAACAAACAATACACGATGATTTTCCATTCTGATGCTGGAGAAGTCTCTAGTCTGAAGTAAAAATGAAACTTAAGGAAGGATCAGAAATAAGATTAAGAAGACAGGAGGGAGACATAAGATAGTCTGAGGGTTCTTTAGTACCATTCATCAATTGGTACTCTGATGTCATTGCAAAAGTCGTATGTATCACAGCAACTTGTCAATACTGAATGATCTCCATACTCATAATCACTTATTTTACAGTTTTTCCAGCATCCAGAATATCCATCTGTTGGATCATTTACTGTGAGAGATAAAAATAGAGTCAATATATTGCTTTTGGATGAAGCAAGCCACAAATCCAAGTAAAAGTGAACCAAGAGTATGTTAAATGACAAACTATTTCTCTATAATATCTATTAGCCCCACACTGGCTTGACATTGCAGATAGTGAAGCAAACAGTGGCTGTTCCCTCTCAGGTAGGCAGGCAACAAGCACTTGCTAACCATTTGCTGGATTCCAGGCTCTGCAGAGATCTTGAGTTCAAATGATTCTATTCTTAGTGGTACCATATCATCAGAAGGCACTTGAGCACTGAAGAGGAAGAGGCATGGCCATTGGTCTTCCACGGTAACTAAATTCACCACTTACCACTGTGAGGAAGAGCCCAGATTCGAGTAATCATACAAGATTCATCATCTTCTGCAATGCATGTTTTCATTTCATGTTTACATTTCTTATTGAAGTAAGATGAACATACTTTACAACGGAGAGCTAAAGCTGCAAGCAATAAAGAGAAAGACTGTGCTGAAAGGAGGGAGACACCCAAGCTCCCAGGCAGCTTGACTTCATCAAGGTTTTTCCTTACAGGTATGTACCAGGCAGCAGCATGTTTTAAACCATGAACAGGATAAGACAAATGAATGATCATATCCCCTCCCTATAGAAGCCAAGGAAAAACAGGTAGGAAGACTGAGGATTTTCCACAGAACTATACTGCCCTTGGTTCATTTTCTACCTTACTAGTTACTGTAGGTAGAGGGAAGAGCACGGAGTTTCCCTTGAGCTTCCAGAGTTGGGGCTAAACTCTAGGTTCTGATTAGGGTGCAGTCCTCAGGTTACTGCAAATTCCTCACTCCACAGACTAAATCATCATTCAGGGAATATAGAAAACATAGAGGTCATGTCAGGTCTCTAAAGAAGTACAGGTTAAAGAAAGATCCATGCAAGTCCAAACAGAAGTTGGGTGGTCAGAACTGGGGCTTCTCTTTCAAACTGGACATTGTTCCTCAGAAGCCCAGTTTAAGCTCACAGACCCAAACATTTTGAAAACAAAAGTTTTACTAAAACTATGTCAGGGTTTAAACTCAGTTGATCCCTTAGCTGTTATGAGACTATTCTCTCAATATTTACCAGTTTGTATGCAGAGCAGCAGAACAATGCCCAGCTCCCGCAAGTTTCCCATTGAGGATCCACTAACTTCTGCAGCAGGGGTGGAAAAGAGGGCTTGAGCTAGATGATGGCCTAGGGCTACTAAGTAGCCAATAACTTTGTAACCCTCTTCATCGGGCAATATCAGCCAGAAAGGCAAAACCAGATCTGATCTAAGTCGTGGGAACCTGGCAATTTTCCAGATCCTTCTTCCATGACCTCTTTCTTTCCTTGTTCCTCTTCAGATCTCTGGCTTTAGGTTTCCAAAACTCTAAACAACCACAGAAGTAATCCCACCACCAGAATTTTTCTGCACAGTATGCAGAATATGTAGCTCACGTAGCCTATCTGTATGGGGTTTCTTGAAGACATTTGTAAATTATCCCTTTTCCCAATCACAGGAAAGAGTGATCAATCAGAAAGAAGAAAGTAGAATGTCACCACAGAGTGAGCTGCTACCACCAGAGACTCCGTATACAAATTCATGAGGGTCCTAATACAGAAAGTCTCAACTAGGTTTTGAAGACAGTATAGTTTAAAGAATAGAAGACAGTGCTTCATTAAGATCCAGACATCATTGAGGAATAACCAGTGTTGGCCATCACACTGAAAGGGAGAAATAGTGGCCCTAGAAGCTCATAAGTTCACTTGCCTTCCAGTGCTGGCCCATTCATACTTGAAAATATAGTATTCTCAAGGTGGATTTTTTTAACCCTGGATGAAAACTATCTGGGAAGAGATATTATTCCTGCTCAAAGCCACTCCCAGATACACCTCAAAGAAAAGCTTCTATTGCAGAGTGTATTTTCCCTTTTTATTCATTTTTCAAAGAAAGGGGGAGTACACCACTCTCCCCATTTTAAAGATAATAAATCAGAACTAAGCAGATAAACAGCACCCTTTAAAAGACAGTTCTAAACAAAAAGAAAACATTGATCTCGTTTGAAACTTGGTTTACATGAATTCCTCATCTTCCCCATGGGAAAGGCGCACACTGCTTAATTAAGCCCAGAGTAACACAAGTTTGAATGCTCATTTCTTTTTATTATTATTGTTATTATTATTAAATTTTTTATTCATTTTGCTTATCAGCCACAGATCCCCCTCTCCTCCTCCTCCCATTCCCCAAGCTCCCCCTAATGCACCCCCTATTCCTACCTCCTCCAAGGCAAGGCCTCCCATGGGAATTCGAGCCTGGCAGGTCTAAGCCCCTCCCCTCTGTACCAAAGCTGTGCAACGTGTCCCCACCATAGGCACTGGGCTCCAGAAAGCCCTCTCATGCACCAGGGACAGATCCTGGTCATACTGCCAGGGCGCCCCCTAAACAGTTCAACCTAAAAAATTGTCTCACCTATCCAGGGGGTCTAGTTCAGACCCATGGGGTCTCCACAGCTATTGGTCCACAGTTCATGTGTTTCCACATGAAACGTCTCCGTACGTTTTCCCATCATAATTTCTATGTCATAGAATCCCTCTTCTCTCTCATTGATTGGACTCCTGGAGCTCGGTCTGGTGCCCGGCTGTGGATCTCTGCATCTGCTTCCATCAGTCACTGGATGAAGGCTCTATGATGACTGTTAGGTTATTCACCAATCTGATTACTGGAGTAGGCCAGTTCAGGCACCCTCTTGACTATTGGTAGTAGTCTAAGGTGGGGTCATCCTTGTGGATTCCTGGGAATTTCCCTAGCTCCCTGTTTCTCCCTATTCCCATGATGTCTCCATTTATCATGGTATCTCTTTCCTTGCTCTCCTACTCTGTCCCTGTTCCAGCTCGAACCTCCCATTCCCTTATGTTCTCTCCCCCCATCCATTATCCTCTATTCCCCCCTCACCCCCAGTTTACTCATGTAGATCTCATCTATTTCTCCTTCACAGGGCAATCTGTGTGTCCCTCTTAGGGTCCTCCTTGTTACCTAGCTTCTCTGAAGCTGTGTGTTGTAATCTGGTTATCCTTTGCTTTACATCTAGTATCCACTTATGAGTGAGAACATACCATGTTTGTCTTTCTGAGTCTGGGTTACCTCACTCAGGATGATTTTTTCTAGTTCCTTCCATTTGCCTGCAAATTTCATGATATCATTGTTTTTTACTGCTGAGTAGTACTCCATTGCGTATATATGTGCCATATTTTCTTTATCCATACTTCAGTTGAGGAGCATCTAGGTTGTTTCCAGATTCTGGCTATTACAAAAAGTGCTGCTATGAACAAAGTTGATCATGCGTCCTTGTGGTATGATTGAGCATCCCTTGGGTATATGCCCAAGAGTGGTATTGCTGGGT